TGGATTGACACAATGGATGCAACATAGCAATGATCGTGAGGATGGCACAGGACCGGGCAGTGTTTTTTTCTGTTGTCCATAGTGTCCCTTTGAGTTGGAACTGACTCAATGCCACCTAACATCGACAACTATCTAGAAAGTGATTCCTCCCCCCTCCTCATCCCATCCCTGGTAACCATCAAAGAACATTGCTTTCTGTGTGTATAGCTATTCTTCACTTTTATAAAAATGAGACTATACTATATTTGTCCTTTCGTGATTGATTTATTTCACTCAGCATAATGTCCTCTGGATTCATCCATGTTATAAAATGTTTTGCAGACTCACCATTATTCTTTATAGTTGTGTAGTATTCCATTGTATGTATGTACCACAATTTGTTTATCTATTCATCCACTGATGGGCACTTAAGTTGTTTTCATCTTTTTGCTATTGTAAATAATACTGCAATGAACATGGGTGTGCGTATGTCTCTTTCTGTCACTGCTCTTAATATCTCTAGGATATATACCTAGGAGTGGGATTACTGGATCATAAGGTATTTCTATTTCTAGCTTTTTGAGGAAGCAGCATGCCATTTTCCATAGTGGTTGTCACATTTTACAAATTCCACCAGCAGTGTATGAGAGTTCAACTCTCCCCACAACCTTGCCAGCATTTGTTGTTTTCTGTTTTTTTGATCAGTGCCATTTTTGCAGGGGTGAGATGGAATCTCATTGTAGTTTTGATTTGCATCTCTTAGGTGGCTAATGATGGCAAGCATCTCTTCATGTGTTAGTTAGCTGCCTGAATGTCGTTTTTGGTGAAGCATCTGTTCCTTTCCTTTGCCCATTTTTGTTGTTGAGGTGTTGAAGTGTTCTGTATGTTTTAGAGATTAGACCCTTATCAGATATGTTGTTGCCAAAGATTTTTTCCCAGTCTGCAGATTTTCTTTTTACTTTTTTGGTAAAGTCTTTTGATGAGCATAAATATTTAATTTTTAGGAGATCCCAGTTACCTAATTTGTCTTGTGTTGCTCATGCATTTGTAGTTGTGTTTGATAGACTGTTTATGCTCAAAATTAGGTCCCCTAGTTTTGTCCCTATGTTATCTTCCAGGAACTTTATAGTTTTAGCTTTGACATTTAGATCTTAGATCCATTTTGATTTAATTTTTGTGTATGGTGTTAGGTATCTATCCCGTTTCATTTTCCCACAAATGGATATCCAGTTTTGCCAGCACTGTTTGTTAGAGAGAGTGTTTCTTCCCCATTGAATGGACTTCAGCCCTTTGTTGAAGATCAGCTGCCCAGAGATGGATGGATTTTCTTCTGGGTTCTCAAGTCTGTTCCATTGGTGTATGTGTCTGTCATTGAACCAGTACCAGGCTGTTTTGATTACTGTAGCTATATCGTATGTTTTGAGGTAGGGAAGTGTGAGGTCTCCTCCTGTTTTTAATTTTACTTTGCCTATTCAGAACCTCTTTCCTTTCCATATAAAGTTGGTGATTAGTTTTTCCATTTCATTAAAAAAATATTCTTGGGATTTGGGTAGAGGTTACATTGTATCGATAGATCGCTTTGGGTAGTATTGACATTATCACAATGTTGAGTCTTCTGATCCATGAGCATGGAACGTTTTTCCATTTATGTAGATCTCTTAGTTTCTTTTTTTTTTTTATTGTTGTAGTTTAGATGAAGTTTATATTTCAAGTTAGTCTCCCATACAAAAATTTATACATACATTGTTATGTGACCCTAATTGCTCTCCCCATACTGTGACAGCACACTCCTTCTTTCCACCCCTGATTCTCCATGTCCATTCAACCAGCTCCTAACCCTCTCTGCCTT